GAACTGATAGGAAGCCTCTATCAAGCCTTGAACTGGCACAAGCTAGAAGATCTAGTATGCAATTAGGAATAGGGGCATGCAAAATGTAGTAGTGTAACGTAGAAATATATATGCTCTCAAAGATAAGCTCTACTATGGGGAAATGAGATGTCTACCAATAAAGCAACACAAGTGTGATGAGAATAATTCTCGTCAATTATCACTAATGTAAGACTAGGAGCCGATCCAGTATGAGTGCATTTAAGCCAAAAGTCATTAAGAACTTGATCTAAGCTCATAAGACAATTTTATTGCCTGATAGAGGATAAATCATTGTAGCCATGAATTGTATAAAGTAGATGAAACTCTTAAATGGCTCGAGTGGAATTTATCAATTAGCGAAATTATTATAAACATGAACAAAGATTTGAATGAGTTTGTGATGAGTTTATCCAATTTGATATCAAGGAAAAAAATTAAACCGTTCACTCTGCTCGATGAGTTTGCTTGTGGTGAACAATATTTAGGATAAAATGAATTAATATTAACAAGGGACAAGGCTCAGTGGTCAATCTTTCTATATAGAAAAGTAGGGTCTCTATTATTAATCTGAGAAATCATCACTTTAACATATGACATGGACCCACCGAATGGGATGGTAGGTGAGAAAGTAACGACCCTTGTCGGGGAACATGTTATATCTAAATGAGCCAAACTAAGACGAGTGACTATCAGAGAAGATGATACACATGATAATGATAGGAAGCTTCTAGTGGTTAAAGCTTGAATCCTCATATGTCATGTATGAATTATGTAGACTTTTCTTCTTTTTTCTTGCAACCATTTGCATGATTTTTTTAAATCATTTACTTTCATTAGATAGCTTTTTTTTTTTTTTTAGCGTAAAGTATATTTCCAATTGTCAAATATCTTCCAAGCTCAAAAGCAAAGCCGTCACAACCCTCTTAAGTAGCTAGGATATCTTCACAGTATGGATTATATTGTGGGTAATGAGTGTTTCCATATGAGAAGAAAATTTACATGATGAATAACCACAAAGATACCAAACAGACTTTACTTCTTCCTTTAATGTAACATGAGAAGGGGTACTTCTCTACTCTCATGTTCACTTTCTTTTATATATCTCTTTTGTATTTTGTATGCACATCCTTTTTTTTCGTAAAATGTAGTGACATAGGTTGGACTAAACTCAAGTAAGAGTTGCCCAACCCACCATCAGGGAGTGGGAATTTGAATTCAAAGGAAATGATTTTTATTTTTTTTGTTAATCTGATCGTAGTGTTAACCTCAAAGAATCCATCCATTATTATTGAGATGATTAAACTACAGAGGGCACATCACCGTATTCAAGAGATACTTCTAGTAAGGAGCCTAATGGATAACACTAACGATCAAACTATAATGTAGCACATATTATATATAGATTTGGAATTTTGTTATACTGGACCTGGCCAAGGGTAAAAGAAACTAACTGGGGTGAAAATGTTAATGGACACCCTATTATCTCTATAATAATGAAGAACAATGCATTGTGATGTTGATATTGAGATCAAAAGATTTTTTTTAGATTTTGTGCATCTCAGATATCTCATATTTATGGACAATTAAATTGGTGTGTTGAATCTAAAACGATCTTTAATTCAAATTGGGTGGAAAGGTCAATGGACACTATTATCTCTATAATGATGGAGAATAATGCATTGTGATGTTGATATTGAGATCAAAAGATTTTTTTTAGATTTTGTTTATCTCAGATCTCACTCATATTTATTTAAAATTAAATTGTTCAGATAGAAATGATCTTTAATTGAAAGTCATCATCAGATGATCGATCCAATGTTTATAAGGTGAAACTGCATAATAGTGGGAATATTTATTGTATCTATGAATTGCTTTTAATAAAGACCACTATATGATAAGTGTCAAGCCCAAAAGAGCACAATGGATTCATTTGTTTATTTTGAGTTTGATTATATCATATTTGGCTCAAATATGATGATGGAGCACAATTGGATAGGAAGAGAAATCAACGAATCCTGCCCCTTGTTTGAATAACTAAATTTGGTTCAAATGCTTGAAATGAAAGAGGGCCTACAAGAGTGTTATGCGGTCAATGGATCTCGTCCTCTTATTGTAGTGAAGAACAAAGTCATAAAAATGATGATAGGAAGTTAACTAGATTTGAGTTTTGGTATCCTACCTAGATTAAACATGAAAGGGAACCCAACTAGAGTGGAATAAGGCCAATGGGTTGATGGACCCTATCATTAAATGAGAGAGAGTAAGATATAAAATTTTTGATTAGAAAGTAAATAAATTTGATGAAATAAGCCTAACAAACGATTTCCTTTTATGATGAGAATGGTAATATATGATAGATGCTGACCTAAGGTAGAAAGGGATTTTGGGTTTTGAAATCTTAGAACCAACTCAAGAAGGATGAGCCTGGTTGGGTAGAATGATTTCATGCACCTTGTAATGTTTAATCAAAATATATTTGATCATTTTAACAAATGCCACCTTATAAAGGGCAGATGTGATGAGAATGTCATATAAATAGGATTACGGACAATAGAAATATCTACTAATGAGTAAACTCAAAAGCGTATCAGAATAAAAGAAGCCAAAAGGAAACTAATGAAACTACTCACGGTTCAAATATTCTATAACATTACCATATGCGGAGCAGATATTTTGCTCAATTAGTTATTATTGAGATTAGTTTAGAGGTAATGCGCTTGACTGATCAAGCAACCTCAGAAGAGATTCAATTTATTTTGAGAATGAAGAAAACCTATAGCATTCATATGGATATGAATATAGGCTCTATGAAAATAAAGGCCTCAAGGCAGACCTTGAGGATCCATCCCACGCTAGTGCGGTGCTCCAAACAATGGTAGAGGGCACATTGTCATATTCGTAGGCTAGCTCTAGTGGAGAGCTATGGACTAGCCTTAGTCTCTTGTTCACAAGGATAATCTGAAGGCAACATAGGTACCAATCATGATGAAGTGTAAGCAACTTATTAAAGAAAAATCTCCTAAAGTAGTAGCATTGCTATAATTAGGAGATAATTTACAATTGGCCACTAGAGCTTAATAGGAATAAGCCATCTAGGTTTCTATGGAAGGAACTACTCAAAGTAGGGACTAAAGTCAGGCTAAAATTGAACATGCCTATCACAAACATCATTAAGTAGTGGGATGCAATAAGAAAATTTCATTCACTGTATGACTGCGAAGAAGGCCTTCATGGGATAATAGGTAGAGACGACAAGAGATATAAGACCACATAGCTATCTATTTCGGGGGTTGAAAAGGGTGCTTACAATCCAAAACTATGTAGTGTTAACTAGAGCTATGAGAGAACGTCCCTCACTAAGGAGAGGTAAAAGTGTATGATATCTATTAAAACCAAGTTACATATCAAGAGTCGAGCCTACATGGTGAAATCTCCAAGCTGGACAATCAGGAAGAGCTAAACTAGTGTTCTGAAGGGACTAAAAGGTAATCCATACAATGTCTATGAGAATACTGAAGAAAATGAATTAAGTCATGATGTAGATGACAATGAATGAGAAGGTGGAATAGCCATGAAGGATGGAAGCAAAGGAACCTTGGCTATTATAGATAGGAGTGTCAATCCGAAGAATATGCTTACAAAGTAAAATGAGCAAATATAAAAAAATGGATTGAGAAATCTTCCAAACTAGCTTAACAGATGGTGAGTTCATGAATAATTATTTCTTGGCATGCAAAAATTTCAACTTTAGCTTGCATAAATTTTCTATTTTATTTCAATCTTGCGAACATACATTGGATATGTGATTTTATTGAGTATGGTATAAGTTTGACTATCAAATTCTCAGGCAAATCTTGTCGTTGCATCTTGTGAGACATGATTTTTATTATGTTTAACAGTTCTGTCTAATTTTTTTTCATCCACATAAATTGATATTGATTTTTTAAGTGCTTTATGTTTTGGTTAAAAATTGATATGTAGGAAATCTAATTTGTAGAAATTATATTCAATTGCACTTTGATTTTGTGTTTCCAAATCGTTGTTGAACTTTTTAAATTATTTGGATATTTTGGAAACCAATTGTGCTGGAATTCAAATATATATTTTTTAGATTTAAAGAAAGATGAGTTAATTGGTGATTTGTGAACTATAAATACTCAATTTGTTGTGCATGAATCTGATGCATCATTTCAGTTGCATTAGTAAATCCTAATCTAATGTTTTCCTCCGGCACTGTTTACAAAATTCTCAAACTTTGTATGGGTATGGAATGCAATTATGGAAGGGTAGTTTGATCTCTTATGGTAAAGCGAGCGAAAATTTTGAAATTTTAACAACTGAGATCACTTAATACTAGATGCAAATAACTAGTTTTCTCCTTCGGACCAACTTCACCCTGGTCTGATTTATAAAATATTTATTGGGCTATGTAGGAAAGTCGGAAATCTAGACTATTTGGCTGGTTCATGGATAGCTCTTGACATCCAAAATGCATACATTGTTTGGCACAATTTAAGTAAATGCATAGCTCATGACATCCAAAATGCATACTTTGTTTGGCACAATTTTCCATTGAAGGCAACTCTGTAGTGATAACTCTAATTTAAAATGGTCTCACATATTGTTTTCATGTCAATAAAAATTAACCTTTTGGGAAATTTACACACTTAGCACATAATTCTCATGTATTTACACATCCCACATCAAAACTTCCATATTTTCATACATACAGCACTTTTAATTTTAAATCTATGCTTGAAAATATATAATTGACCATTAAAAAGTGGTAACAGTGCTATTTTTGATGCGATATTAAAAATTCCATTACAATGTGTGTAAATTTGGAAGATTTAGGTATGAGATACATAAATACATAAGAGTTTTGTGCTATGTATGTAAATGCCCTTATTTTCTTTATTTAAAAACAATGACGTGTACTCTCAATATCAAAAAGCCTTTTCTTCTTCCATTGGATCCAGATTAAAAGCCTAAGGCTGCCCATGAAACTCGGAAGCCATCGAGGATTTGCATTTGTGGAGTTCTTTACGAAGCAAGAGGCACAGAATGCTCTGCAGTCTCTTTCAAGCACACACCTTTATGGGCGTCATCTGGCAAGATTTTTCTCATTCTCCTCCTACTTTTCTTTGTTTGATAAACAACTTTTATGTGCATACAAAAAAAAACAAAATCTTATTAAAACATGACTACAGGTCCTGGAGCGAGCCAAGGAGGGAGAGAGCTTGGAAGAATTGAGAGCAAGAACGGCCGCACAGTTTGTGGATGAACATAACAGATTTGAAAAGTTGTCTAAGAAGAGGAAAAACTTGAGCATTCTGGATGAAGGAAATGTGAAATTTTCTAAATTGTTAAATTGATCCAAGTGTTGCAGTTTTGTGTTTAATTATGTTAGGCATAGAGCTATTTTTAAAGGCTTTGTAATTTTGCCTAGAGTAGTTTTGTGAACTATTGTAACAAAGCCCATTGAATACATCCAGCCTTCTTAAAATATATTATTTTTTGTTTATAAGCATTGATAAATTGCAATATATATGCCTGTGAAAAAAATTTTCCCCTCTTTTTATGTGATGCTATTGAAGTAATTGATCATTAATCATTTGATGGTGAGTTTTTCAAGCAACGTTGGCTTTCTGAGGGAGATAGAAGGGAAGTAAAAGCATGGTTTGGAAGTATGAGTTGGCCCAATAAAATTTTATTAGAGTTTTTGTTTTGAATATTTGCTAGAAGACGAAATGTCAGTTTCGACCTTCGAATAATTATGTTCTGATTATAGTTTTGATCCTTGTTATTACATAGATAAATAAATGAAGAGGTAATATGGCACTTACTTTATATGAGTAATGAAGCTATGGTAGCTGCAAGGAAATCACAAGTATATTTAAAAGGATGGTACATGGCTTTATGTATGAATGGTATGGGTGATAAAAAAATGTCTCCTTGAAAATTTCTTGTATTAAATTTAAGCGGATAAAATTTGGACATATCATGCGTTCTCTTTTAAACCGATGCGGAAGTTGGTGGCTTATGAAACGGTTTTTTTTTTTTAATGTTTAATAATCAATTAGGAGGGACAATTTGAGATGATTCTTGATAAAAAAAATATAAAATTGAATCTTAGGGCAGAATGAGAAATTTGTTTTGAGATCTATGCAACGTGCGGGTATCGTAAATGTGTAATGATTATGTTGAATTTGAACGTAAAATTGTCTTGTGAATCGACCTTGAGGAATAAAGGAAAAGCATGGGCAGAGAGCAAAGATGAAGAGAGAGAGAGAGAGAGAGATTATGATGCAGCTTTTAGAGTTTTTATTATTGATTGATTAGCCTTCTATTATAGAAATGACACTTATATTTATAGGTCAGGGGTACAAGAAGTATAATTACCTGTTTGCACTTGTTTCAGTAGAGCGTAGCATAGTAATTTAGTTATAAATAATTAAGGAAATTTGTAAATAAATAAATAAATAAGTCTTCAGCTCGGCTGTTTCCATTACTAAGCAGTTGCGGCCAGAATTTCTTGGATCGGCACTGCCTGTTTGGCAGACTCCTCTAGGTTTGTGTAGCCGATTGACATGGCTTTCAAAGGTTTGAAGCGGGAGACTGGCTCACGATCGGAGGGGGAATAAAGGCAGAAGATCGTGCCTAGGAAACAACAAAAAACTTGATTCAGAGGATCAGGTGCGATCCTCAAACTTGCACCCCGCGCATGAGAGAGTGCCCATGAGGGGGAAAGTTGCTCGAAAGAGACTCCTCGGGTGGAGGTGAGTGTCTGTCTGCAAGAATAATCAATCAATTCGTTGGCTCTTGTTCGGACTCCAGGATTGGAGGAGGGCAAAGAACTATTGGGGGAACAGTGTGAGAGGCCACTAATGCATTAATGCTTCCCGATGCGTAGAGTGTCGCTGACCTTCCTTCGCCAATCAAAAGTCAACCGATTGGCGAGGAAGGGTTCTTTTTTACTACTTTAGAGTGAGAACAAATCTTGGTAACGGAGGACCTTTTAGGATGAATTATCTTTTCATGAACCTAGCTTTATATTATTTTTTAATGCAGATGATTTGATCACGTTTGTGATCGTCCACTCTCCTTTGGCGATGGTTGGTGTAGATTTGATTGCCAAGACCACAGTGAACCAATGGTTTGTTGAGGGCACCTCGATTCAGGCCGAGTATGGAGGCAGTCACCTAAGTATTCCAAAAGAGGTCCAAGTGGAAGCAGTTGCAGGGCCATAATCTTCCAGCTCGAAAGGGTATCGACTGCCTGAGATAGATGGAATATGACCGCCACTCGTGCCCGAGAGGGCACCCTATGTGCAGAAATTACAGCTCTCTAGGAGAAACTTCTAGCTATCTAGGAGGTGTCTTCGACCATTCGAGCTCAAGTTGAAATAGATGGAATAAATATGTTGTGACCAAGGGAGAACTTTTGTACAAGCGACAGCTTCAGTGGGGATTGGCAGGCAGAAGCAGCTGCCAGTAATGTTATGAAGTACTTTCTTGAGTAGTTGCTGAATGGCGATTACAAATGTTAAAATTATTTCTATCTTGATTTGTGTGTTTGATTTAACTCCTTTTTTGCAATTTTGGGGTGGCAAGTGATGTCATTTTCTTACTACGGTTCGACTTCCACTCACACTCTATAAATAGGGCTACTCTTCGGTTGGTTCTTTCCTTCTCAACTTTCTAGTACTCCCAATAGCTTTGAGAAAACATTGATCTAGCTGGGTGAAGATCTTCAAGGATCCTACATATATGGGAAAATGGTTGTACTGAGGGCAGTCAAAAGTAGCGATTGAGCGACTGATACTTATGATAGGGATCTAATTTTCTAGTGGGTTCACTTTAAATGCTGGGCTGCGATTGCCTTTCTGCCAAGAGCTAAAAATTTAAATAGAACGACCATTTTGAAGAATTAAAAATTTGCTTGATAATTGTTCTCTCAAACACCTAATGACTTCAAATTTATAGTAATGCATCATGAAGAGGATAAAAGTGTGCTTTAATGTCACACGAGAGAATAGTTACTTATACTTCAACAAAATAAAGAAAAAAACAATCCTACATATGATATGCACTTAACAGTGATTGTATTTACATTAAACATATGAATATATTATTTATACGGAGTTAATATGAATCATCTACTTCTCACTGAAATTTTAAATATATTTTTACACAAAAGAATACAATTTTTTTAAAAAATAAGGCTAGTATTCATTAAAAATATTTGGATATATAATACCACAAAGCAAATGCTATTGTAAATTCTTTCACAAAGATCTTTGGCAGTGTAAACTAGTTGATTTCTCAATAAGAGTTGATTAAAGATATGAATAATCTAAAAATTAAAAAAAAAAATCTTAAGTTTGGTAAAGCATGTCATATATAATAGTATACAATCAATGCGAGTAATTATTAAGATACATAGAATTTGTACCTCAAAATTGAAACTTAAGAAAATAAATTCAAGGTGAAGTATATATCTCAGGTTGCTAACTTCATTCAAAAAGTAATAAGATGTGCCAAGAGCTTGCAGAAATAATTTAGTGGCTAGAACTGAAGGTGTAGTAAAAATTTTTACTAAGTATCCTATTTATCATAATACTAGAATGAAAGTAGAAAATGATTGCTATGGATTTTATTGTTGGGCTACCAACATCAGGATGGGGTCATGATGCTCCATAGATTATCATTATATTTTTATAAAGGTTGTATATTTTTATACTTAAAAAATATGTTGATTCTCTAAAAATATCTAGCAAATTTTTATGGATAAAACTCTGTGTTTACATAGAATATTAAATTCTATAGTTTCAAATTGAGATGATAGATATTTCCAAATAATGTAGAAATGTTCAAAAAGCTTTGAGCTCTAAATTGACCTCCAGTGCTATATTTCACTTTCAAATTGATGGCCAGATAGAATAATTCAATGGTTAGAAGACTTACTCAAATTATGTTTCATTAATTTTAGTTGAGGATAAAAATCTCATATTTTATTGATGGAATTTGATAATAATAATAATTTTCATGTAAGTATTAGTATAGCTCCTTATGAAGAACACTATGAAAGAAAATACAAAACCGTTTTTGGTTAGGCAAAAACTTGTGAAAGAAAGTAGTAAATGCAAATTTAGATGAACATATCTATGTTTGTGGAGAGACACTATCAGGAAGATGAATGTGCGAACTATGCATAGAAGTTTTGAAATTTATCACTTATGATTAAATGTGACATCATGATTAGTATATGATGTTGAGAGATGAAAACATTATCCATCAACGGATGTAATCACTAAATATTTCTTTCACTACTCTGGGGATTTGCATTACCAAAATGTTTTTTCTCTGTTCTAATATTTAAGAGAGTGTTTGTATTATTTAGGGTCAGGCATCCCTAAAGAAGTAAACCCTTAAATATACTTACATTCCTAAGAGGGGCTACCCTTTAAGACAACTCTCGATGAAACGAGTCATGTACATGCATAAAAAGGGAATTTTTTATTGCAAAGCACATAAGATTATCTCAAACCATGTCGGTTCTATTAATAAGAGTAAGCAGCTCAAACCTAGTCTAACAAAATATGACTTATTAACTTCACTCCCACTAAGAAATGAAATTCAACTCGATTCTTTCATACTTATAACATACCAGAAGAGGGTTGCCATCTGACATCTCATACACTTTAAAATCATTATGATAATCATATGCACATTATGAGAGAATATTATAATTTTAAATGATGATTTGGGACTTACTACTCGATTTTGAAGATAGAGCGGCTTGAGTGCAAATGCATCTAACTATTGCAAAATTTATATTTTAATAATTTTATTATTTTATTTTAACTCAATTAAATTATTTAATTTTGTACTCGAAGTCATTATATTTATGCAAGCTAAGTTTATATGCAATCCTAAGTAAAATAAATGTTTTTCTTTAACACATAATTGACTTCCTTTTTAATGAAGTTGACACATCTTTCACTCCATAATATAATCTTAAGAATTTTCTTAGTTGACTTCCTTGAAGTACTAATTAATGGCTAAACCCAAACTCAGTACCAAACCAATCCCTTCCCTTCTTGGTTCATTATGAACTACAATTGGTCCATAACTAATGCAATTGAAGTTAAGTTGAAATTTCTTAGGTCATTAAGAGACAAGAGTCAAATACCCTTCTATAACCTAAAATACCCTTAGTGTTCCTAAGACTAAGATCCCAAAGTTCACCGTAAAGCCATAAGGGTCATCTTAGGAAGATTTCAATCCTCCTTGACTCATACTTTAAGCCAAACTATTTTGGTTAACCCACTTGATCTAGTCAACCCATAGTGGCCCTACGAAAACAAGTAACCAAACCTAATATTCTTTGCTCAAAGATTTGGTTCGTAATGAACTCAACAAGTGAAAAGGTCATTAAGAATCATACTTGATTCAACTTGGGTTAGTTTACTTAACTTGACCTAGTAAAGAACCTCAAAAGTCCCTTAGCTTATTTCCAAA